GGACAAAAGCCCACAATAGGTGAAACAAACAGGATACAAAACTCTGTATAGTTTGATTGCAACGTTAGAAAAACAAAAACAAAAACAAAACAGGGGCTGGGGCCGGGCGCAGTGGCTCACACCTGTAATCCCAGCACTTTGGGAGGCTTAGGCAGGAGGATCACTTGAAGCCAGGAGTTTAAGACTAAGACTGGGCAACACAGTGAGACTCCAATCTCTACACACACACACACACAGAAATTTGTCTGGCACAGTGGTGTGCACCTATAGTCTCAGTTACTTGGGAGGCTGAGGTAGTAGGATCGCTTGAACCCAGGAACCCTGTCTCAATGAGAACTGTTTTTTAGTGAGAATAGTTTCAGTTTTGCAAGATGAAAATGTTCAAGAGATTAGCTGCACAACAATGTGAACATATTTAACACTACTAAACTGTATACTTAAAAATGGTTTGGTAAAGTTTATGTGTATTTTACCACAATCGAAAAAAAAGTGTGTGGTAGTGTCACCGGGCACAGTGGCTCACGCCCGCCATCCTAGCACTCTGGGAGGCCGAGGTGGGAGGATTGCTTGAGGTCGGGAGTTCGAGACCAGCCTGAGAAAGAACAAGACCTTGACTCTACAAAAAATAGAAAAATTAGCCAGGCATGGTGGCACATGCCTGTAGTCCTAGCTACTCAGGAGGCTGAGGCAGGAGGATCACTTGAGCCCAGGAATTTGAGGTTGCAGTGAGCTATGATGCCACTGCACTCTAGCTGGGGCAACAGAGCAAGATTCTGTCTCAAAAAAATAAAATAAAATAAATAAATAAAATAAAATGTAATAAAAAAGGGCATATTCCTATACTGATATAATATGAAGCACACAGCATCATCTATGAAGTATCTTGCCAGACATATTTCACCTGAACCCAAACAAGCCTTTAGACTTACCTTGAGGAACATAGAAAATGATATCATAAGGAAACCTTAGACAAACACAGAATGTGGGGCATTCTAGAAGACAACTGGCTTGGTCTTTTAAAAAATTCATTATCTAAAAAGGAAGGTTGGGAGAACCATTCTACAACACAAGAGATTACTGAGACATAAGCAAATGCAGTGCATGTACTCTGATTGGACTTCGGTTCCAAAAACCCAAAAAGACATTTGAGGAGCAAATTAGGGAAGCCTTAATATAAGTTGGATAAAGTGATGACATGAGGAAATTAATTTTCTTTGTTGTGATAATGGAAAAGTGGTAATATAGGAAATGATTTTAGGAGATGAATGCTGAAGCACTCAGGGGTAAAATGTCATTAAGTCTGCAATTTATTTTCAAATGATTATGTGAAACACATATTTGCAAATTTTCATAATAAAAACTTGGGAAGAGGGGAAAGCATAGGAAAAAATATACGAAAATGTAAACAGTATAATTGTGATTGCTTCTGAAAAGGACACTAGGTAGAGCTAAGGTCAGGGGAGAGTCTTCTTTTTATTGTATATCCTTTGGGATTTTTTGAATTTTATACCATGTGCATGTATCAACTATTCAAATAAATAAGGTTTTTAACATTAAGAATAGCTATCTTTTCAGTAGTGGAGTTACAGTTTTTACTGTCTTCATTTTAGAATCTGAAAAAAAGACATTTTTTGAAAGCTTAGGCTGGGGTTGGACAGTAAGGATGAACAGTTTAATCTCTATAAATTCTATCTCAAGATTCTCCCTAAACATGTTCTACATGCCTTTCTACTCAACCTTAAAAATGGCAGCCCAGGCCAGGTGTGGTGGCTCATACCTGTAACCCCAGCACTTTGGGAGGCAGAGGCACTGCTCAAGGCAAGGAGTTTGAGACCAGCCTGGGCAACATAGTGAGACCCTGTCTCTACAAAAAATATAAAAATCAGCCAGGTGTGATGGCACATGCCTGCAGTCCTTGCTTCTCGGAAGGCTGAGGCAGAAGGATCACCTAAGCCCTTGATCACTTTGAGGTTGCAGTGAGCTATGATGCCACTGCACTCTAGCCTGGGGGGGTGGGGGAGAGAGAGAGAGAGAGAGAGAGAGAGAGAGAGAGAGAGA